AGTTTAAATAAATTGCCTGCATCCATATACTTAAGCCAATTCTATCTCAATCATGCAAATATTCCAATCATTCAATTTCTAACTTATGTGTATATTCAAAGTAAATGTGCACTCATTTGTACTTATTGTAAAATAGAACCATTATTGTTAAACCTACTTAAAAAAAAAATAGACAGCAAATAACCTTTTTTTTCCTAAAGTAATTATAATTTTTTAAATTATATCAAAAAATATTATAAATAAAAAAAAGTTGTATCTTTGGTTTAGCCTTGTATATGGTTTTATTTTATTTAAATATGAAAAGTACTATTTGGTGCCAGTTTTGTATCATTTGTAAAGCTAGGTTCTCATCTACAACAAAACCTTATGTAAAAAGATTTATAAAATAAAATATTTAGTTTATTAAGTTCTACCAAACTAGAAAAAAAAATCGAATATTTTGAAAATTCTTTTTAAAAATTAGTTTTTGCATTAAAAAAATTAAAAAAGAAAAACTCATGTTTGTCATCTGGTCACGTGATCGGAGCACGATAGCTTTCGAAGAGTTTTATGTAAAACTCAAAATTTATAAAATTTCCCTTTTATATAAAACGTTTATATGTAAAACCCCAATTTTATAAAATTTCTACAACTACCAACAACTTTATCTAAAGTATCGCCGAAAATTTTATATTTGATTAAACCCACGTTTTTATTTTTTTTAATTATTTGTCATTTGTTCCGTCTTCCCAATGTTTTATAGTTTTTTGTTAGTATACTTTCCTTTTTTACTTCCTTTCTTTTTTTAAAGAAAAAACTAAAAGGATTTTGATTTGATGTTTCTTGAGTGCTGAATGCTATTTGATGTTCCCTGAGTACTAAACTTTTCAGTAATTTTTTTTAACAACTAAATATTTATTTTTAACAGTAACACTTTTATTTCTTTATTTATGTTTACCATAACCTTGATGTCTACTTCAACACCAATATTTATCTCAACATCTATGTTTTCTTTAATATATACGTTTACCTCAATATCTATGTTTACTTCAACTGATAATTTTTGAATTATTGTTTTAATCGTTTTTAACCATCAAGATTGTAAAATCATATAAAGAAATGGAGACCTACAGAAAGTGATTAACTAATCATAAATTATAATTGTTCGTTCTACAAACAAATGATTTTAATTTTTTTTTATTAAATTTTTATTAATTTTCTAATTTTTGTGTCAAAAAAAAAAAAAAAAAAAAAAAAAAAAAAAAAAAAAAAAAATATATATATATATATATATATATATATATATATATATATATATATATATATATATATATATATATATATATATATATATATATATATATATATATATATATATATATATATATATATATATATATATATAATTTATATAGATAGATTTCCAAAATTTCTTTCATCACATTATAGGCAGAACAATTCACTAATTTTTTCCACTTATTAATAAAAACCATATTTTTAACAAATAATATATCAATACACGTTTTACTGATTTCTAATCATCTTCAGTTGGGTTTAAAAACTTATCTAATTTTATATATAATTATTTTTACGGTAATAAACTATAAACTACAATTTTTTTTATATTTAATTACAACAAAATAGACAATGGCAAAAAATACAATATCTTCATTAAAGACATTAAAACATTTAACAAAAGGTCAACTACTTATAAAATGGAAAGTATTATGTAAAAAGGGTAAAATGGCAAGTATTATGTGAAAAGAGATATTCAACTATTTGTTCATATCTGGATTTTTCCATTCAATAAACAAACTTTCCTTGACTTTAAGCTCAAATTTTTTGAAGGCAGAGTCCAATATTGAAAAACAGTCATTATAATTATTATCACAAACAATTATTTTTAGCATTGAGATATTTGTATATGAGTGACAGATCCAGTCGATAAGTATGCATCCCCACCTCCACCAGAAAAAAAAAATTTCTGGATCCGTAACTGAGTGAGTTTTTTCTATCATTCGTGTTTTAGAGAATTTTTACCTATCTAACAGAAATTACATTCTGCGCATACAAATTTATAAACAACGAATGATTTGAACTCAACAGGTAGAGGATCCTTTGGTGAAAACATATTAAAGATTTTGAAAGAGGTAAAAATCAAATTAGAATATAGATTTACAATGTTTTTTAATTATAGAGTTTAAACTCTTTTTTATTTGTACCAGTATAAGGAAGTGGTATATCGTTAATGGATTTAAATTGATTAGTAGAAATGGTTTTTTCGGTAAGATTAAATTATAAATTTGGTTTTATTTAATTACAAATAAATTATTTATTATATATATAAAAAGTTGTCATTTAAATTTTACCGTAGAATATTTGTATATAAAATTAGATAAGTTTTTAAACCCAACTAAAGACGACTAGAAATCAGTCTAAACATGACTTGTTGTATTATTTGTTAAAAATATGGTTTTCAATAATAAGTGGAAAAAATTAGTCTTATTTCTCAATTGTTTTATAAATATCTATCTATCTGTGTATGTATATATATATATATATATATATATATATATATATATATATATATATATATATATATATATATATATATATATATATATATATATATATATATATATATATATATATATATATAATAAAATATTATTAGCGCCAGTAAAACTAATAAAAACATACTTTTATGAGAAAATGCTTTAATAACATGAAATATATTAAGAAATATATTTCTTAGTATATTTAGAACTATATAAAATACCAAAACTTCAAACTTAGTTTTTAGAAAGAAATTATAAAAATTTGTTAGAGATTTAGACCTAATAATTTCAAATTCAATAAAGAGTCATGAATATTTTTTTTTGTTACTATTGTTTTTAGGTAATTTAAGAGAATTTTATCATTTCAACCTCTTTATCTATATCTCTTTATGGTTGAAACGTATGAAAAACAACTGCACTTGTTGTAATAACTTGTTGTAATATTTAGTTTAACAAAAATTACAAATATATTAAGACCTCTCACTAAACTGGTTTGTTTTCCATTAAAACCTATGCATATCTATTAGCTTAGTAACTTAGTTACTAAACGTATGCGGAGGTTTAGTGCCTAAGTATAAAAACGTATAAAACTCTTTAATTTCTTATATTTTGTGAAAATATGAATTCTATTTTTAAACTGTTAAAATGTTTAAATATTATTGTTCGATTAATATATTATTAATATTTTACTTACGTTTTTTATGATGCACTATTAAGTTAAAAAAAACTGTTTTATATCAGGTTGCTTATTTTGATCATTTTAATTGTTAGTTTGAATTTAATTGTTAGTTTTTTGTGATATAAAAAAACAGATAGTAAAATAATTGTGTAAAGTAAAAGCTAGTCCAAGTTCCATCTCACAAGCCGTCGGTAGGCTATTAACAGCAATAATAGAGAAGTTTGATTTTCTGATTGGTTAACATGCATAACATTTTTGATTGGTTATTTATCTTAATTTTTTTATTAGTTATTGATTTGATTGCAATCGTAATGATTTTCGATCAAACTAAATGTAACAATGAGAAATGTAAAGAAGGAAAATTTATATAAAACTATTTAAACCAATAAAAGTTAAAAAGCTATTTTTATTACAAACATTCTATGCTTAAATTTAAAGAAAAAATTAAAAATTAAATAGCTTGAAAATAGAAATAGAAAGATAAAAAGCAAACAAATTAATTTCTTTTGAAGATGAATTTTTTAAAGAAGCAAACACATAAAATTAATTAAAACGAATTAGGGAGGACGCCTTTAGAATCGCTTTAAACATGCTGTTGGTTATTTTTTATTATTTTCTACTTGACTACCGTAGAAAAATAAAAGCATTTACATTTTGCATTCATTTTTTATTGTTGTTTTATCTAAAATACAAACGACGCATTATCACGCCGCTGCATTTTCTATAAAGAAGTTTTTTTTTATTAAGGATTTTTACTATTAAGTAAAGGGTAAAAAAAACGCAGCGTTTCTAAGGCTGTTACTATGGCTGATTTTATAAGTTGTAATAAATGTTTAAAAGGAAATGTTTAAAATAAAATTTTTGACAACTGATCTTTGATATTGTAATGTGTTTACAATGATTTGCTTTATTACAAAACGGTTAATTAAACTGTTACTTATTAGTTTTGTGTTTTTTTTTCCTTCTGATTGTTGGTTGTTTTATGTTTATAATAAGGTAGGCAATACTTTACAATTCCTTTAATTTGTAATGTTTGGTTAGTTTTGTTTATAGTTATAGATTTGTGTTTTTCTTTATTTGTGTCCTAATATTTGGAATATAAAATTGTAGTGTAAATAAAACTTTTTGTAACCAAAACTTATTATTTGGATTATCTTACCAAAAAACTACTAACAGCTTGTTTTGTAATTTTACTCAACCTTCCAATCTTTTTCTTTTTCTGTTTTACTATTATTTTTTGTCAAATAATAATGTTATACAAAAAAAAAAAAAAAAAATTACTCGCTTAAAAGCAAGAAATTACTCACTTTTTTTTTAAATCTCAATATAACATCGAAAATTTCCACCAGTGTAGTTTTGCTGAGTTATTTGCTTAATGCTAGACGCGTCTATGTGGTCATTTTAGCCGGTACCAAAAATGTTATTGGTACTTGCAGTATTTTATTTATTTATTTCCATGACACCATCCATTTATTGATTAAAAGGGTTTTATATTATCCTATTATTAATTTGCTAATTTATCAATCTTTAACAATTTAAAACAAAAAGTTCGCAGACTTTAAACAAATATCAAAATCTAAAATCTGCCACTGCTTCAATTGCTGTTAATGTTTCTTTGTAAAACCTTTGTTTTTATATAAGTTTATTCTGCTTTCATGTTTAATACTGAACATAATTGATATCATGATACTTCCTTACAGATGTTTTTGTAAATATTTTTGTTTCCCTTCCAATTTACTGTTTTTGAATCTTATAGTTCTAGTTAGTTGTATTAATGGATTCACCTTAGGTATTGTTATACATCTAGAAATCAAAAAAAAAAAAAATTTAGTCCAAATAAATTAGGTTACGATTCTGAGAAATAAAACACTTTATGGACAGATTTTATTACAAGGTTGTTTCATGTTTTTTTATATATTTTTTTTACTTGTTTGTAAACTGTGTAGATGACTTTGTTTTTGTTTTTTAATTTTTTTTTTTTTTGATATTTTTTTCCGCAACATTCGTTGAACAGAAGTGTATAGTGGAAATTATTTAAAGGTTTAACAAAGAAGTCGCGACGTTGATAAAATTTGTTAAGCCGAGCCTAATAGAAAGTAGACCTTTTTATGTGCCTAATAAAAGGTGAAGAAAATGGAGCGTTATTTTGTTTTTATGCTCTATTTAGCTTTGCAGTGTATTCGAATCTTCGTTCCTCCCTTTATATTAAAAAGCCATGCATTTCAAAACAAATACTTTGTGTTTCTTATTTTTATATTTTCTTTTTCAGTATACGTAATATTAGTGGCAAACGATAATGACGAAGTTTTTAACTGGTATGATGTTTATTTTACGATAGTAATACTTTAAGCACGGTATAAGTCACAACAAGTTATCAAGATTTTTATATATGTTGATTATATTGGGGCCATTACACTTGATTTTCAGCTTCTATTCAAAATACTGCGTTTTTTCAGATTATGTTAAACTTATGTTGCGTTGTAACAATAATTATAGCATTTTATACACCAACCAATATATCTATCAGAAAACGCATAAATTAAAATCCTAATAAATTGCTTTCAATTTGAAGTTACTTATAGTGATGTATACACGTAAAACTCAGTAATATTATATACTATACTTCAAGATTTGTTATTTTCAAATTTTGTTTGACACGATAACAAATTAATTTAACTGTTTGATTTCATTATACTCAATCATGAACTACTTTTTTTTTTTTTTTTTTTATCTGTATGCATATAAAAATAGACATAAATGAATATAAAGAACCTACTGTTTGTTTTAGATATATGTTTGTTATGGCTGGTTAAAAGTATTAGTTGTTTTAACTTTATGAAATAATATAAGTAATATACATATGTAGTGCGGTAAATTATGCAACTTTTTATATATATTTATCATAATAGGATATTATCCTACGGAAGTTTCACTTTGTTTTTTTCATTCCGAAATTCATTTTTTATGTTATAAATCAAAGGAATTACTTTACGTTATTAATTACGTCATTAATTACTTAAATGCAGAGCTAGCTATTTTTTTTTTACTATTTCAAAATGATGGAAAAAATTAACATTTAAAAGTAAACCTTTTTATCTTTTGAAATTCAGTAATCATTTGTGTGCGTTAACAAATGTTTTGACTGTTAGAAAAGTTTTAAAGAATAAACAGTGATGAATTTATCAATTAAATAACGTTTACTTTTAGACCAGATGTATGGACTTGGAGGCGTATTAATTGGTTTATTTGCTTTTCTTATACTTTGTACAACGCTCTGGTTTTTTTACTGGCGAAAGCAACAAGGAAAACGTTTCCGACGTCTTTCTGAAACTGAGTCATCGCAACAAATAATCCAGACAAAGTTCCCTATTATAAAGACAAACACGCTAGAATTTACTCTTCCGCAAACAGCATTTACAAGATCGTTACAGAGCAGCGAAAAACTTAATGAGTCGAACTGTAACGGAGAAAAATATGAATTGTCAATTAATGGTTTACAAGATACTGGAGTAATAAAAACAAAATTCGGCCAATTTAAACCAGCTTTATATCAATCTAGTGACGATAGTGAATGCGATGCGGACAATGATTTACCTCCGGGTAACAACGGTCGCATTTATTTTAATTTGGAATACTTAGCGCAATCAGAAAAACTTGTAGTAACTGTTGATAGAATTCGGAATCTACTTGGTCGAAATGCTTCGGCATCACAGTCAACAACATGTGATCCTTTTATTCGTTTATACTTGTTACCTGACGAAAAACGATACTTACAATCTAAAATGAAACGAAAAACACGCCATCCTGTTTTTAAAGAAACATTTATTTACACTATGTCATACAGTTTACTTATTGAAAGAACGTTAAGAATAACCGTTTTTGACGTAGACCGATTTATGCGTCAAAATATCATTGGTCATGCTTTGTATCCTCTAAGCGATTTGGATGTAACAATGGTGACTGAAGTTTCAAGAGATGTAGAAAAGTTTTCGCAAGTAAGTTTTTTTTGTACTTAATACATAATAATAAAATTAAAATCAGAGAAATGACCTTTTTAAAATGAATAAGTATTAATTGATTTCAGTAAACATAAAGTAAATATTATTTTTGTAAATGCTAAAAAGCACCATTATGACTGAGCTATCGTAAACACCAAAAAAATTCCAACACAGTTGGCCAGATAGTGGACAAAAGTAAAAAAATACATCCTCAAAAATTATAATATTATATACCATTTTATAGCGTAAACATTCAGCTTTTATAAAATGCATATTCTTTTGTATAATTATAATGCTGTTTGCTTCTAAACTGTTGAATAAAGTTTTTTTTTTTAATCTTTTTTTTGATAATATTTTGTAATGTAATAATAAGCATAAAGTAGTTGTTAATTCTAAAACTTCTTTTTTTATTGGATAATTTAAGAAAATCAAGTATTGTCTTTGAAATGAGTAATTGCAACACTATTTTACACTTAAGCTATGTCAAATAAAATGATTTCAAATGAAGGTGTATTTGAAGTACTTTTTTATTTAAAATTTTACTTGCATAGTCGAATACCATTGTGGTCCAAGGTGGTCCAGTATTTTGAGTTATGAAATACAAGATTCAATATGTATACTATCAATATAAATTTGGTTTGTATTTTAACAAAATACAAACCAAATTTATATTGATACATTAATATAATTTGGATTGTATTTTGCCACATATAATTTGGATACATCATTTAACAGTTAAATGATGTATCCAATTATATGTGGCGAAAACATGATTAGTATTTTGTTCTAAATGGTTATGTGATAACTGGGTCTCAGTGAGGTTAGATTACAATATAGACAAACTTGTTTTTTATAACTATACATCTTAAAATACCTATTTATAAGGTTTTTTAAATGTAATACATAATTTTATATAGTTTATAGATAAAACATAAAGAAAACTTGAAGTTAGCTTATTATTTTGCATGCAGTTGTGAATGGCATGAACTTAACTTCAAATAATAACTTGTCTAATATCATAAAACATTTAGACAAAAATGCTTTATGAAATTATGGAAAAATGTGAAAGTTCTTAAGTTCGTTTGGAAGAGAATAACAAATAATGGCTACAAAATGAACCGATATCGGTTCAATTTGTAATTGATAATAAGAATATTCTTCTAATTGCTTCCATTGATAATGATAAATATGCTCTTATCCAACTATGGTATCTGGCAGAAACCATGGTGACAGACTACAGGTGGACTACAGGTGGATTTTGACAGTTCAAGTAATAAAACAAAGAAAAAAAGATCGGCGTTGTTAGTTGCATCTTTTTTATCTTTAGAACTGTTGTTTGCATCAGGTTGTAGTTTGTGCGAAGATGGTAAAGAAAAATAAAGTAAAGCTGTTTTGGTTTAAAATATAATTTTAAAACGAAGCATTTATATTAATATCTACTCAAAAGGTTCAAGCTTTCTTTGTTTCTTTTTCTTTCTTTTTTTCAAGCTTTAGGTTCTTTTTATATGAGCATAAGAGCAAAACCTATAAAATTCGTTTCGGAAAGAATAACCAGCATAAACCAATATCATTTCAATTTGTAGTTGATAATAAGAATGTTCTTCTCACTACCTCCATTAATAAAGATAACTCTACTCATCTAACTGTATTATCTGGCACACACCACCACAGGTGAGTTTTGATACTTCACGTAGTAAAATAAAGAAAAGAAGGTTAGCGTCATTAGTTTCATCTTTTTCACCTTCAATTATCAGAATACATGAGTTTTGGTATGAAAAATAATTTTAAACCAAAACTTTTATATTATTATATACACAAAAAGGTTTAAGCTTTAGGTTTTTTTTTTATATCAATTATGTAGTAGTTTTATGAAATATAAAATAGAGCCCTGGAACTACATAAAAAACACCAAAAATAGTTAATTGGGTTTTTAAATTTTTAACCTGGCTAGTACATTAATATTAGTTTATTACTTTGATGTTTTAAGAAGCTTAAGCTTGTAACTATGCAAAATGAACTATTGCCAGGTAATTTAGGTGTCACTATCAACAAAATGAACTATTTCTAGGCATTTCAGGTGTCACTACCAACTAAAAAAATATATAGGACCCTACATTTTTAGTATGAAAATACTCAATGTGGGAATTACGGGAATAATCCGATAAAGTTATTAGTTTTGTCCAATTTATGTTTTTTATGGTTAATAAAATATGTGGTTGCTAAAAAATTTAGGTATTTAAAGCAACCCATAAATAAAACAAATGTCATTATTGAAATCGTAATCCTTAAATTAGTAAAGAGTGTAAAATTAGTCCTTAAATAGTTTTTATATGACGAATTATTAGTTTTGTCCAGTAAAAACTTTTGACCCACCGCGCACTAGTTCAACAAAATTAATTTAAAACATACGTAATATATATTTAGAAAGATTTTAAAATTTTAACTATTCTTATAACTTTTAATAATACCATATATTTTATTAACATTCTTCATTAAAAGTTATTTACCATTAAAAATAATTTTTGTTAGTTATTTTGTAGCGCGCAAACATGGAAATCATTAGTTTACATTCAAATATATTAAATAAAAATGCTTTAGATTCCTTGAGATACCGTTTTAATCTAAACAAAACAAATAGGATATGTACATTATTGATAGTAATATAGGGTGGTTAGCAGCAGCAGTTTTGATAACAAAAAAGTTTTTTGCAAATACTTGTTGTACATTTAGATACATTAAAATGACACCCGTACCATTAAATTTGAGACTGGCTTTAAACTTCAATAAAAACTTAAACATATTAAAAAAAAAAAATTTTTTTGTATGTACATAAAACAAATTATGCAAAATAAAAAAATTATCACAAGACTCCATATTTTTGAGCTTGGCCAAGTCTGGTATTGATCCAGTTTTTGTACAGCGTTTGATCAAGTCTATTGGTATAATAACGAATGCGATGCTCATGGCTTATTATAACATTTATAGACCATCTATCCATGTACACATTACACTTAAGCATTGCCCCAAAATTCTCTATAGCATGAGCTTCTAGCAAGTTGGGTTTTCCTTTTTTTGAACAAATGGTATCTTCTAGGTTTTCAACCAATTTGTTACCAAGTTAGCATAGTGAATGTCGGGCTAAATCGGGCCAAAAAATGTACTTGGTGTCTCAATAATATTTATTAGTAAAAAACTGCTTTTAAAAAACTCTTTTAAATAGATCTTTTGGTTTATCGCTGGGTCAGAAGGAGCAATGTAAATTGATGTAACCCCTTGTGGGCAGATTGCCATCCATTGAAGTATTTTTTTTCAAATTTTCATTGTAAATAATAAATTCGGTCACGATATTTTGAATAAAGTTGACTACTTTTTGGCGACGCCAATGCCTCTGTTTGGGAGTTCGGTCTGGAAAAAAAAGTTTTTCCTTTATAACAAAGAGTAGGCTTATTATAAAATTTTATGATTTGTTTGATGGTGCTTTTACTGCAACCAAGCCTTTTAGCAGCCTTTAAAAGTGACATCTCTTCGATGCTTAAATATTTTTCTTAATTTGATGCGGTTGTATACTAAATTTGTGTATTATTTTGTGTATTAAAAGTAGGTCTTCTTCCACTTACAGGTTTTCGACTCTATGGTTTATTTTTATTGTAACCGTTCATATAATTATAAATTGTGAAGCCGTTTCAAACCATTTCATCTTGAAATGGTTTGAAACGACATACTTTCCATCTTCATGCTTTTTTTGATAAAAATTGGCAATTTAAATTTATATTTAAGCAAAAAATAATCAGAAAATTTATATACTACTTTATAAAGGCTTTAATTTGATACCAAATACAATTTATGTATTATTATTAATTTATCAAACTTGCTAAACAATTATTGCTAATTAAAGCTAGTCTCAAAATTTATGTCAGAGGTGTTATTTATGAAATAATGGAAAATCGTTAAAATTAAACATATATTTAAACATATCTTTAATTAAAAGCTTATTTAAAAATTATTTTTTAGTATTGATTTATTTGTAGCTTATATTCAAATTTATAAAGTAAAATGTTATAAATAGATGTTAATAAATCAAAATTAAACTAAATATTGTAACACAATGAAACAACGCAATGAAATAAAATCTTGTTACAAACCACATGTATTTAACCTTGAAAAAAAAATTACCATTAATAGTTTAATAAACAAGTTTTGTTTCTTTTAATAAGACTTAGTGTTTACTATTAGTTTACATTTATTACAAATAGATTAAAAGTTGAATTAAAACCAGTAATCCAATTTGTCTGGATTACTTGTTGCGATAACTACAAATATATATTCTTTTTACTGTAAACGTTTAAATATCAATTTTTACTATTTTAATAATCCATTATTTATTGATTATCAACAATGATCTTATTTAAAGCCATAAAACTGCATTTACTTAATAGTAAATTAATGTCAATAACTTCTATGTAAACTGATTTTTGAAATTCTCCTTTTACTGAGCTTGGTCTAAAATTTTCCCTGGACTGAGCTTAGTCCAAACCCTTGATACATGCTTGCAATAAATCTACTAAAGTTTTCAACATTGTAGTCAGAGGCGGTTCTAGAAATGAAACGAGAGGGGGATGGGGGATGAGGTGAATTCTTAAAAAGTACCGACTTTCCTAAAAAGTAAGGTTCTCAAAATTAAAATTCACCTCACTAAAATGTGTCAAATGACAGACTAGCTGACTTTGTTCCTCAAAAAACCGAATATAAACGGAAAATCACTTTCTTTGGGGGAAAAGGAAATACTGTCTGAATAAAAATTGTCTGAATACACAATTCTTAGGCAATTTTTATTTATGACCACTTCTAACTTTTCTTTCTGGTCCTATATTGATCTCTTTTCGTAAATCGTACATAGTTAATTTTGGGACATTTTTGATGCAAAAATTATTAGCAACAAACATTTTGTTGTTAATAAATTTAACAACAAAATTAAAAAAAAAAAAAGACTATTGTATATTGTAGAGGAATAAATTTGCAACATAATTGGTAGAACTATAAAATTATAAAACATTGTAGACATAAATTAAAGCTAGAGAGTTTTTTCGGATTTTTAAAAACAGAAGAAGCAGCACAAATATGAAAACATTATTTGTAGTTTAGGTAATCGTAAAGGTTTCCGTAATAATGTTTTTATTTATCAAAATAAGAAAACAATAGTTTAATATGTATTAGAAGTAAACAACTTGTAATACATATTAAAATTTTAATCTTTAAAAAAAAAAGAGTTTTTTTACTTTTAAAATATTTAAATTCTAAAAGTTTTTTTTAAGAATTAAATTCACTTGCCACGGCACTCTTTTGACACATGTATGAGATGAAATGTTAGACTTGTCTTTGCTGGTGCAGTTAAAGATTTTTAAAATACTTTAAAAACGTATTAGATTTAAAAAAAAAGTCTTTTGAACGTTTTGAATGTCTTTTGGACGTTCAAAAAGCATTTTTTATTGATTGAATGCTCCATCCGTAACTTGTACATGAAAGCAAGGAAATAAAAGTTTTAATGCGTGCCTGAGTACAGGAGGCACAATTTTCAGCAGAAAATTAAAAAATCAACATAAAGACCATCAATGTTAAGGGTATAGAGAAAAAGAGTATGCACCAATTGCACCAATCTAAAGCGCGCCGATAAAAATATCAAGACTTGATTTTTATGTCAAAAGTATATTCCGTGACCCCAAAAACGTATGCTTAAATGTATAATGCAAATATATGTGGATGTATAATACGACTATATGTTTTCTATTTTTGCTAACTTTCGGTATATTCTTGGCGACTTTGGAACGTTTTGAATAAATTTATCTTTTAAAAACGATGCTTTTACCTGTTATAGTAAAGCTTATAAATATAAATATTTTTAAATTTATATATCAATATTTATAAATATTGATATACAAATATAAAAGTTATAAATTTTTTGATAATTAAATTTGATTTTAATCAAAGTTATTTATTAATTATTGTGGGTTTCATAATAAGTTATTATTTTTATAGTAAATATTAGATAAGTTTTTTCAAATTTCCAGTAATTTCTTATTATGCAGAACAATTATTGAAGTTTCAAAAATTGCTGAAAAGGTATATAAGTAGATAGATGAATTTGGTTTACTTAACCACATATTTACAGTTTTTATTATTTATTTAAATTTATCTTATACAGAGTCTGTTTGTACAATTAGGAAAAGTAATTTAAAAACTGTTTTTAATTTAATTTTTAATTTAACAAATTTTTTTCATTGCATTTTTTTTTCCTTATTTACATACACTTACAACAAAATAATTTAAAAAGACAAAAAAAAAAAATCTTTTTATTTGAAAAGTGTTATTATATATTTTATTAGTGTTATTATGTATTAGTTATTTATTTTAAGTCTTTTTACTTTTTTTTTTTTTTGAAATATATGAATAGTGTGAAGTATAATTTACTTTTTATTTCTTACAAACCGAAATTAGTTTAAATTTCTGCCCTCCCTCTATTGAATAGTTTTTGAAAGCCTCTTATAGTTATTTAAATTGAAATCTTACAAAATAATAAACTTTGTATATTTTCTTTTTATGTATACTTTTTTACGACTACTTTAGAAAATTTAAGGTTATTCCTAATTTTGTAAATATATTTAATTTTGTTGCTTGCAACCATGCCACACCTTATGTAGTTAGTCCATATTTTTATTCTTTACTCAAAATTAAAATGAACGTATTATTATTACTAAATTTTGTTAATGTTATTAAAGACGTTATTAAAAAAAAATAATTCTTTTTTAGGTATGCGCCGGATCTGGAAGATTGCAAATTGGACTTACACATTTCCCAGATTTGAATCGAATTAGTGTCAACGTGATAAGAGCTTCCCAGCTGTTTGAAGAATTGGGAGTATCTGCTCCAGGTAAAGTTTTAGTTTAAAAAATAAATAACTGTAAGAAAAGAACTTTTGGTTAAGTTAGATACTAAATATAATTTATTGCAGTTTAAACGTAATTTTTAATTTATAATTGTATCTTAAAAATAGTTTATTACGTATTTTTTCGTGTCAGCATAAATATCAAATAAGACAATAAGCTTTCAACAAAAAACCTTTTTAATCTTTATTAAAATAAAGCCTAAATTAAAGCAATTTTCTAGATAAAACTAATAAATATAAAAATTGAATAAAAATGAGTAGAATGTAGAGTACACAATTGAATCATTTAATTTATTTTTCTTGAAAATACAACTTGGTAAGCAAGCGTCGTGATTTTGTCAAAAACAATAGTCATACTTAAAAACAACAGTCATATTAAAGGGTATTTTTGACTAAAAAGATCACCAGTATGTGGTTTTTATAAAATCAACTAAAAAAAAACTTATTGAATATGGAATGCTATAAATAAAAACTTACCTATGTTATTATGCCTAATGATTAAAAAATTAAAAACAAAAATACCGTAATAAGCGTATTTAACGCGAAACAAAACGTATATAAGTTAATGGGGTGTTACAGTTTGTTATTCTATTCAATAATGTTTATTTTTGTTCAATTTTTACAGTTTTATTATATATTTATTATTTAAGACTGTATTAATAAATGTTTTCATTATTTTTTAGACACGTACGTCAAAATCACATATCTTGTTCTCAGCAAAGTTCATAAAATCAAAAAAACGTCAATAATTAAAAGTTCTTTCGAACCATTGTATAATGAAACTATGGAGTTTAAAATAAATAGCAACGAACTAGATGCTGGTTGCTTACACTTTGAGGTTTTTCAATGTACGGGGGGAATAAAAAACGATCGTATTCTTGGCTATTTTATTATCGGAGGAAATATGTGTTCACGTGGCAAAGAGCTAGAACACTGGGAAAACATGGTACAAAATTCTCACAAAGTTATAAAAGAATGGCACGACCTCAAAAGTTGACAAAATAAATAAACAAAAACATCTTTTAACAAAGATAATGGCAGCTTATTAATCTTCTTAGAGACCGTTGCTAAAGAAAATAAAATAAAAATTAATCAGTAACAAATATCAAGTAAAATTTTTTGTTGCGTAACAGAGTGCTTCCATAACACTTTGCAAATTAAGCCAACATAAACTCAACTATAAAAAATATGATATTGATTTAATTTTACAACCCAATATACAGAAAAACATTTAAAGATTACAACAACCATCGTTTATCTTTCATAAACTGTAAATAAAAAAAAGTACAACAACTGTTAATTAGCGACTTCGAGATTAATAATTGACACGCGCAATTTTTACTTATAAAGTATATATTTATAAAGCATATATTTATAAATAACTGTATATAAATACTTTTTAAAAGGAGCACATCGATAGCTTAAAATTTTTCAAAAGAGAAAATACTTAATAATGCCGTTTGACTAGCTGTAAAAATTTATAAAAAGGTTAAACTTTAAACTTTAAACAGCAATTTTGTAAAATTATTAAACGATAATAAAAAAAAAAAAAATCACAAAATTTTTTTTCTTCTCTTTATCCGAGAGTTTTTAAATTGTATTTGTACGACACGCAGTCTCGTATTGAAGTTACAATATATAAGGTAGTTACAGTATATAGGGTAGAGTGGAGCGAAGTGGGACATTAAAAAAATTTTCAGAATAATAGTAGTATCATTTTAATATAATATATGTTCTGCATCAAATAAGTTTTAACAAAAGTATCATTTCAGGTACTGATTCTATCCCCAAATATTGACAGCAGGTTATAATAAAGTCTATATAGTTTTGATTTTAGAGGAACCGTGCCATCGGGATAGTGTTGTAAATTACTCACTTGTCGCACTTTGGTAAAGTGGTACATGCGCATAATTAACAACATAATAACAAAAATTATTTTCAAAATTATCACTAAAAAATTATTAAAATTGTAAACCATGTAATCTTTATCAAAGTATTCAAGAAGTTTCCAGAATAAAATTACACAAAAGTGATATAGAAGAAATGGAAGATCAATAAGTTTTCTTTGTTTCACTTCACCCCTCAAAAAATCATTTTTTGGGGGTAACTTACATACTTTGTCTTCCTGCGTGTTTTAACCATACTCAGAGAAGAATATATATATATATATATATATATATATATATATATATATATATATATATATATATATATATATATATATATATATATATATATATATATATATATATATATATATATATATAAGTTTTCAAAAATGTTTTTAATAACCATTATGAAGAAAAATGTTTTGATGCTGTGTTTTTAAAGGCTTTTAAAGACTATTGATAATTTTTTAAAACTTGGAAGTTAATATGTCTTTTATTTTAAAATATAAAATACAATTAACTAGATAAAAGCTTTAATAAAAGGAAAAGACAGGTATATTGCACAAAATTATTCGGTTGTGTTTTTCCTCAAATTTCAACTTCTGTAGTTTTTTCTAAACCATCCTCATTTAATATCATCATGAATATACAAAAATTTCAAGTATGTAGCATGCTTGGAAGTATGTAGCATGCTTGGAAGTATGTAACATGCTTGGAAGTACGTACCATGTTTGGAAGAACGTACAACTTACCATGCTTGGAAGTGCGTACCATTCTTGTAAATATGTACCATGCTTGGAAGTAAGTACCATGCTTGGAAACTAACCACTTAATCATTTTGAACGCAAAAAATCCAAAATTCACCTGTTAAAACGCAAAAAACTGGCACAGACAAAATTAAAAGGTACCCAAAATATACTCATATAATGCTTTCATAAAAGGATTTTTTTTGGTCATTTCAGTTGAGGTTGATTGTGAATTTGACAAGATGTGTTGTACGTGTAATCAAGTTTTTATTTGAAAATCTAAACTTGAATATCAAATTACTCTAAGGTCAAATTCAAAACGATTAATTACTTCAAGTCTAAAAAAAACTATTGTATTTTTGTTCCATAAATTGTTTCAATTTTTAAATGTAAAGTTTTGATAATAAATTGGTAAGGTAACTAGGGGAAGTACGACCCAGCAAGGGTTTTTAAACTCATGGGGCTTCGTAGAGACCGAACAAATTTTAATCTGATTATTTAAATTTTTCAGTTTTTTAATATGTTAGTATTAATCTCTGTTTATAGAAATACATTTTATTTATTTATTATATATTAAAAGTTCTTAAATGCAAAACAAATTCTGAAAATATTCAGCTAATTTTATTTTTCACTATATTAGTTTACTATTTACTTTTCGCCAATAAAAAATGCCTACGTCATCGCGAAGATAGCAAATTGATAAGAAAATAAAAATTTCGTGTAAAAGTTTGGTATAAAACTAAAGTGCAGACTCAAAATACGAAATAAAAAATAAATAAGAATTAACGAGGTTTGACGATTATATCTATTATTTATTAAAAATATAAATCTATATATCTCTATAATTAATGAGCTGCTCTATAGTTGTATAGCTACATGTAGCTATACAGCTATAGATTATCTATAGCTTTTCGTCTTAATAAAATAGTTTTCTTCACATAGCATGAACTCAAAAGCATTTATATGAGTGGTGCCAAGAGAAGGAAATTAAAAAAGGAGGCTGATGTTAGATTACGTAAAAACAATAAAAATGGTATCTTTATTTTTTTCATCAGTAGAAAAAAACCTATTTAAGCAGTTCAGAGAAATAGATCAATGTTGTCGCCAGTACCTTTGAATCAACACAAAAAGAAGAAATATTATCTGTTTCTACTGATTGAAAACAATGAATTTACAATCATACGCACACACAGACACACTCACACACACACACACACACACACACACACACACACACACACACACACACACACACACATATATATATATATATAATTATTCACAAGCTATTATATCTTAATTTGCTGTTACAATTTGATAGTTCAATAAGCTTAAACTTATAGTTACGCCACAGTAAAAAATTCTTTAAAAAGAATCGTTTAAAATATTCAGATGTTACCATTATATTTAAAAATTGGATAACTTTTGCTTAGTTTTTTAAATTATATATTGCAAAACAGACCAAAAGCTAATTATTACAAAATGCTAAACAAAAGCAATGTCCATGATGACAACAGAAAAAGTTTGGGCAAAATTTTCTTCGTTTAACAAAAAGTGAGTTAATATTTGAAATGCATTTTCTAAACAAAATTAGTTTTTAAAAACAAAAAATCATGAAAAGTTTGCATAGTGGAAATGTAAATACATAAGAACCATTTTCCAAATAACTCATAAACAAATGTTTAGTCGGAAAACATGTCAACAATTGTAAAAAAACTATATTTGTTTATTACTATTCTTATTATTTTTTTGCCGTATATCGCCACATATCGCCACATATCGCCACGTATCGCCACATATTGGAAGAATAAAACACAATTTTATTTTTAAACTATATAACAATTGAATAAAAATTTTGAAAAATTTATTTTCATTTTCAGATCCAAAAATTGGTTACTTAATAGGACACTATTGGTTACTTTATAGAATACTATTGGTTACTTGATAGAATACTATTGGTTACTTGACAGAACTGCATTTTTAAAATAAAGTTAAAACAAAAAATAAAATTGTTTGAGATCATGTGACAAGAGATTTTAATTTTAAAATACTTAATATTCAACAATAGATAAACAAACAGTAAGTATTCAAACTTTAGCTATTTGCTGCTTTAACGAGCTCTTTTATTCAATATTTATTCAATCCGATGACAGGAATATTCGAATCAGCTCAGGATGTTTTTTAAACAAAAAACGAAAAAAGTTATAAATATCATAGTTTAAAAATTTGAACCAGCAATTTAAAAACTTTAAAAAATACAGACAAAGTTTTTTTGTAACTATCAAGACGCACGTTGAAAGCTTTTTTATTTTAAAATTGAAGTGTAACTTCCTAGTAAAATAATCATTTAATAATAATATATGAAAAGCCAAGAAAATTAATAAAAGAAAGCAGAAAATACGAAAAATAGGAAATAAAGAAAAGAGAAATATTTGTCTAGGGCAAGTAAAATCTTGGCCGACAAAGTTTTAAACATCAAAAAGGAGAAACGTGTCCTTTGTAACACAACGAAACACATTTAAATGTTTTTTTATTATTTAAGAACGAATAGCATTTAGAGTCATTTTGTTGCGTTTCAACGTCGTTGCACGTCAAAACAATTAAAATTGTAACAAAACTTGGTTTATTTAGTTTTTAAAAAATCTTCATTTAAATTTGTATTTTTACAATTTTTACAATTTTTAAAAATTTTTATTTATAAAAATTTAACAATAAAAGGTATATTACAAACTATAATGGTTATCATTGAAAATCTCAAAAGTTAAACACACCTGTATAACCTTTGAAGCCAGCTAGTATTTACTACGAAACAATGTAGGGGTTGTACTTACAAAAAATGCTATATACATATAATATAATTACGAAACTATGTTCAAAACGACCGACCGCATGTAAGTACAAAGACCATCGTTTTTAAAAACACCGAATGTAGTTATGAAAATTTTAAAAGTAGACTTTTACGGCAAAATCCTCATCATAAAGTTAGATAATTTGTAGAAAATTTGGCATTAAAATTGGCTAAAACAATTTCTAAAATAATAGAATATTTTATATAATAGATTATATAGTCTGAAATAATAGATTATATATTCTGTTCTATTGTTTGTAAAATTTTGAGAAGCATTTGATTGAGTCAACTGAGCAACCGTGATGCAGAGGTTAGAGTTCTGGCTCAGAACCAAAAGGTCCGAGGTTAGATCTAGCTTTGACCACATTTGCGATATTGATAAGGAAAGAGACGTGAATGTCCTTGTCAAATGCTCTTTCGCGGTGCTCTGTGATAAGACTGTAAGAGTTATTATAAAATCTTAATTCACACACACACACACACACACACACACACACACACACACACACACAAACACACACACATACTTACACACGCACGCTCACACACGCACGCACGCACACACAAAAGTTATTAAAAAGCGGTGAAATCTTTTCTCATTGAAAAGCACCAACAGCCATTAAATATACAAATAAAAAACAATTTAGGAATAAATAGGAATAAATTTAATAAATGAATAGGAAATAGAATTACCTAGCAACTCCTTTCTTAATCATTTATTAAACTCTTTTGTAGCAAGCGTTTTGCTGTTAGACATGTTGCAATTATCAAGACTAATCATATGAAAATTATGGAATTAGTAAAATAATGCCAATTTTTATATTAGACTTGAAAGAACTTTGCAATGGTTACATTTAACTATAAAACTGAGACAATTAATTAAGATATTTAGAAAAGTTGTTATTTGTACTGGTGACACGTTAGGTTAGCATCTGTGGGAAGGTTTTAAAGAAGAAATCGGTTTATCCTTTTAAAAATGTTGTAATTGTTACGGCCAATTTTTTGCAGATGAAAAAATATTTTGAAGAGTCTTGAGAACTAAAATGCAAATAGAAAG